TTTGATTTCGGGTTATAAAAAATCATAAACCGATGATTCGGTTCAGTTTTGGTTTTCATGTGTGAAAACCGAAAATGACCCAAACCGAACCAACTTAGTAGTTAGTTCCTATTTAGTAGTTACAACCTACTTAGTTCCTACTTAACTAAGTTGTCTCTATCCTAATTACAACCTACTTAACTAAGTTGTCTCTATCCTAATTACAACCTACTTAACTAAGTTGTCTCTCAAACTCTGCTCCCTCCACAACTTGATCCATGGATGGGCCACAAAACATTAAGGAAATGTTGGTTTCCTTTGGGAATGTAGAGCCAGAAATGAACACTTAAGCAGCAACTAAGTCACCACTAAGTAGAGCCGAAACCGACCCAAACCGACTCAAACTGATCAGGTCGGTTTTGCTTAACACATGGTCGGTTTCAATTTCAATTTCAGGAAACTCGACTAGGTCGGGTCAGTTGGAAAAACATCAGTAAACCGACCCAACCCGACCTGTGAACTGCCCTAACAAAAATACATATAGAAGGTGTAAGGAAATAGTTTGCTTTATTCTTGTCCATTTGCCCATTTATTATTATTATTATTGTTGTTGTTGTTGTTTTGATAATTCCCATTTGGTCATTTATCTATGATATTCTATTTCTTCTAAAGCACATGTATCGTATGTATGGTCACTCTTCACTAATGTATATTAGTGCATGAAACAAAATGGGAATGCCTTGTTCTTAAAACAATGTTGGTTCATATCCCTAAATTGAAAAGTTTGATAAGAAAAAAAGTAAAAAAAAAATTACTTACTTTGGTAAGATTCTAACCCAAATTGTATTGTATATTTGGGGTACCAATACCTCTTTTTAAGGTACTAATAATTAAGCACATGCGTCGTGAGAAATTTTTCATATTAATTACACACATCACCCACAACACACTACCATTGTGCATTAGGCTCAATTTGGAAGGAGTAGAAATGCAAATTTGTAGAGTGCAAATACATACCTTGTATGAGGTGTTCTCCATGTGTGGCTGTGATGTTATGTGTGTAGACATGGGTAGAGTTCTTGTGGATAGGAGATCCAGACTCATCATAGTTAATATAGAAAACGGAAATTAACAAAAGTAATAATATGATTAAAAATAAAATTAAATGCTTGTAGTAAATGTGCACATGCATTGCATGTGGAAATTTCAAGTTATGATAACAATTATTATTATTATTATATTTTTATTCCATTTCTGTCATAAATAAAAATAATTTTTATTTTAACAATTATTTTTATTTAATATGATGAGTATATAACATTAGAAATGTTCTCAAGTGTTTTCAGCACAATTCTCTACTTTATCATTTTGTGTTCAATTTTTTTAAATATTTATTATTCAATTATGGCATCATGAGTTTCTTTGAAAAGTTGGATCATTTACCCACAATCTAGATAAGAAAAAGTTTTGCTTTCGGATTATTCAATTATTACATTTTAAAGATTTATTATTTAACTATTATATCATTGATTATTCCATTTGACCCAAACCACTAACCACCACCCAAAAAGAAAAATAGTTTGATTTTTAGGGTGACATTAAATTTTGTATTACATTTTCATCAATGATAAAATTATTTCTTATGTATAGTACTTATTTTTGTTCAATAAAATGAATGAATAATATTAGAGATGTACCCAATATTTTATTTTTTATAAATATATAATAGTAGATATATGTGCCTGAAATTTTCTCTATTTTTTACTTTTTGTGGTTCTTTGTATTTTCTATTTTTACAAATTTTGTTGTTTGACAATGACATCATTTCATTTCTAAGTTGATTTTAAATTTAGCATTCCATTTTCATCATTAATAAAAATACTTCTTACATTCCATATTTAATTTTGTTTTATATAATGAATATACAGTATTAGAGATATGCCCAATTCTTTTTTTGTATTTTGTTTTTTATTTATTTTTATTATTATTATTTAATTATGGTATTATTCATTAACCCATTTGACCCCAAATGGTTGAATTGCTTATCCATCACCGGAAGGGAAGAAAATGGTTTTGTTTTCAAATTACTTTACAAAATGTTTATTTTTATACTATTAAAATTAATGTTGTAAAATTAATTAATGGAATCTAATGATGAGATAAATATATCTTAAAAATAATATTTAATGAGATAATATACCTTAGATGTGAGACTCAATGAGAGATAATAGGAAAATAATTTTATTTTCAATTGGTTCTAAATTTTGCATTCCATTTCCATTATTAATAAAAACATTTCTTATTTATCATACTTATTATTGTTTAATATGTCGAATATATGATGTTAAAAATGCTCCATTTTTTTAGTTTCTATATTTTTTACATTTTATCTATTTTTGAATTTTACTATTTAATTGTGCTAATATGGATTGACCCATTTGACCCAAAATGGTTTAGTTTCTTACCTCCACCTAGATGATGCAATTTTTTAAAATCTATATTTTTTACGTTATATCTATTTTTTAATTTTATTATTTAATTGTGCCAACATGGATTGGCCCATTTTACCCAAAATGGTTTAATTTCTTACCTCCACCTAGATGATAATACTATTTTTAGGTATATTTTAAAAGTATAATTTTTTTATGTTATTAGAATTATTAATTTATAATGTATGGATTTAATTAATAGAATTTAATAATGAGAAAAAATTCCTTAAACATATGATTGAATGAAGGTGAATGCAAATTAATTTCTTAAATATTGGATTTAATGAGAGGTAATTGAATGTATTGAATATCTTAAAATGACCTCTTTCCAACTCATTTAATATCAATAACCAATTACTCTATTTGCCCTCATTTTTATCAATAAATTTAAATATAGAGAGACAAATTTTGTCCTCAGAAAATTTCAGAAATATTCTTGAGGCTATTCATGCTTTTTAAAGTAGTATAGATTTAAAAAAAAAATCTTTTTAAAAATTAAATAATGTAAAACTAACCTTATAAAATAAAAAAAAAACTAAAAAAAATTATGCATGGTTCAAAGTGTCAATAATCAATACATCTCTTTCAGCATATTGGGGTGTATGAATACTTTTAACTATGAATCCATGTCTAATATATCATACAAACCATATAATATCTTAATTTTATGTTTTCATGTCTTTATTGTGTATGGATTATATCTTTTTCTTTTCTTTTTTTTTTTTTCTCAAGGCTTATGCCTCGCCTCCACCTTTAACCTTTTACAACCTTGGCTCAAAGGGGCCATTAGACAACCACAAATTTCTCTCTTGATGAGTCTGGATTAGGGGTGAATATTTCTAACACACCCAAACTTAAAATCTTGTGGACTGGGGTCTAAATTTTGTGTCTAGGCCCAGACCAAGCATGGGTTCACATCATTTTAGAAAAATGCTCTGGGCCTGGATCCAATACATTAGGCCCAATAGGACCTTCAATTTACATAACATTTATTATATATGAGTATAAATATGCATATATTATGTATACTATGCCGATATTTGTCTTAAATTCGGCATAGGTCATAAAAGTTAAATTTGACGATACAACATTAATTTATATCCCCTATTTACCCTTTACTTATACACATATATAATATATAGTATATGAGAAAAAGCTCTAAAGATTATACATCTAATCATACTCAAATGCCGAAAGCCTCATATCAAAGTTCAATTTGGACAATATCTATCTATCTATATATATATATAACATGGTAATATCAAAAAAAGATGAAAAATATTTTGATTTAAATTTTTATGGCCTGAACGTGAAGAGTGAAGCTATCTTTATCTAATATTTAATATTTAATTAGGAATGGCCCCGTACTAAGTATGGAGCCATTAATCTGAATTATTTCAATTATTTATATAAGAAATTTAGGTTAGGCTTTTTATTTGATTTAAGAGACTTACCATGTTTTATCAAGAGAATGACCCCATACTAAGGGGTAACTACACTATCATTTAATTTGAAATTTACTATTTAAAAAATTAAATTATAAAAATTAACACAGGTCTAACATCTTTGTAATTGACAATTTATTCTGACCTACTTTGTTTGAAAATCACTATTGACTTAAGAGATTAAATGAGGTCTTATTTGTAAGTAGTAACCCACTTTAATTGGTATTTACTATTTATTTGATAAATTTATTTTTAAAAGTTAAATTAGGTTGTACTTCCAAAAAAAGTTAAATCTAGTTTGCAATTAATAAACTATTTCATCTAAAAGAATGAAACTCATACAATTTGTATTAATTATTTTATCATTTTTATGAATTTCATTTATTTTTATTTTTATCCATTTAATATTTCGATATTTTTAAGTTAATTTATTTGTTTAATCGTTACTTTTGAAATGATTGTGTTTGGATAAAATGCAGTTACTACTTACTACTATAACATTTGAAGTGGCCACTTTTTAGGGATTAGGATGCTACCTGTATGAATTTTTAAGAGAGTGGAGTTATCACTTTTTTGTGAATGGATAGACTTTTTTAAGAATGAGAGTTTAACCTGTTTTAAGATTATATCTATTGAAATTTTACAATGCCACATGTCTAAAGAGTGGGGCTGTTGTTGAAAGGGTTAACTTTGGCTGTTAGGGCCCAACAGCATAGGCTGTTGAAACAATTTCTGGGCTGAACATGTTCTAGGCAGTTCACAAATTCGTGCCCATGCTTTGATTTTTAGTAAAAATAAATTAAGATGTAATTATTAATTTACCCATTCTCTACATTCCCAAAAATTCTCTCAACAATATAGGCTGTTGTCCCACAACAGCTAATGTTTTTCGGTTGTTGAAAGCCCTTCTTATATTATATATATATATATATATATATATATATATATAAGAAAGCCTTTCTTATATGAACAAACAAGGCTAGGCACTAAACGGACACGTGCACGGCAACGGATGAAGCGTAAATTGAAGAAAATGGAGTTGAGTATGGAATTGGAAACACCTCGACATGAGAATATGAGATGAAAGTGTTGGGTCCGATGGTCTCTCCGTTCTTAAACCACTCCTTCACAGGATTAAGCGGCGTCCAGTGCGTCTCTCGTTTTGGAGAGCTGGAGACTTTTTCCCGCGTCTCTCTTCCGTCAGCTCCTCTTCTTCCTTCTCTCTCTTTCATATCCAATTTTCCTAATAAATTGCATTTTATTTTTATTTATGGATTTTCTTATTTTCTTTCTTGTTCTTCTGTGTCTCCACGGCTTTCTCTCCGGACCACTCAAAGTCTCTAAGGTCTTCCAAACCGAAAATCCACAAGAATCTGCCTATGGGTTCGTCGGAAAACAACCCTCTTGTCAAAACACATCTTCGATTTTTCTTCTAATCTTCCCCGTCTGCAGATTTCCCTGGTTGAGTTTTAAGTTTCAGTTTCTCCGGTTACACGTGGAAGCAGAGCAAGCAACATTGATGTCTCATTGACGAATGCAAGGGAGATTAAGCTTTGAGAGGAGAGCATATCCATTGCTTCACACTTTGGATTATTGGTTCGTTCTGAAACTCATTGGCTTTGCATTTTTTGTTTTGCTTATCTCAATTTGTGTTGCATAGAATTTCAGTCGTTCCTTTTGGTTGATGACTCTGTTACCCTGTTCTAAACTAAAGTACAACCTTGTTAGTAGTATAAATGCAAATGTAAATATAACATGGAATTAAATTCCATGAAGTTGGTTATCCTCCAAGACTGCATTATTGATCTTTTTAAGTCAGATTAAATAGACATGCCATCTATATGCGTCTGAAAATCTTTGTTGAACTTTAAAATCTGTATTCTCGTCGTTCCCATGTGAATCTTACTTGAAATTTTTGATGAAGGGTCGCTCTGTGTTTTCTCTTTGACACAATCGGAGCCTTTGAAGGGGCACAACTCGTCTGAGGTATGAACATGTACTTGATGCTAATTAATTGGTTATTTGAGTTGATTGTGAAAATTTTCGGAGACCAGTAATACTATCACCAAAAACAGTCCCACATTCCCCAACCAAGGTGTTATCTTAATCGATTATGTTACATCATTATGTTTTTTTTTTTCTTTTCTTTTGTCCCCAGATTTTATTCCAGTTGAACATTGTGATTATTCAATGCCCATCTTGATTGAAGAACGGTTTTGAACATTTTAATGCAGATGAGAAACATTCCCCCAGAAAAGGCGCCATGTGAACTCAAAAAATTGAATCAAATTACAAAAGATTCCGTTAATGCAATTAATGGCCCACCCTATGAATGTGAAGATAGCGAATCTGTTGCCACAAACAATATTAATTCAACTAGTAACCCCTCATATGAACACAAGAAAAGGGATCCTATTTCCAAAACTAATAGTAGCCAAACCAGTAATCCATGCCGATTGCCATGCCCAAAGGTTATAAATTCAGAAACAACAACAGCAACAGCCACAGCCGGATTGGTAACATCATCATTAGCGCTGCCAACAACAACAATTGGAAAGGCAAGCGATGGAAAGAGATCTAATTCCATTACCAGCCTTGGTCAAGGGAGCTGTAATAGTATAGTTAGTACTCGAAGCAACAGCATAGACAGCTCCAGTGCACCTCTCAAACCCCACACTGGCGGCGATGGTAGGTGGGAAGCCATTCAACTGGTGGCTGCCAGAGATTCTCCTATTGGTATCAACCATTTTCGGCTCCTCAAGCGCCTTGGTTATGGGGACATTGGGAGCGTCTATCTTGTTGAACTTAAGGGAACTAATGCATACTTTGCCATGAAAGTTATGGACAAGGCATCACTGGCTAGTAGAAACAAGGTACTCCGAGCACAGACAGAAAGGGAGATTCTTGCTCTTCTTGATCATCCATTCTTGCCCACTCTCTACTCGCATTTCGAGACAGATAAGTTCTATTGCTTAGTCATGGAATTTTGCAGTGGGGGTAATCTTCATTCTCTTCGCCAAAAGCAGCCCAACAAGTACTTCAGTGAGCATGCTGCACGGTCAGTTTCTTTTCTTTTGACCAATTATTTGGATTCTGTATTTGACTTTATGTTATCATATTTTAACTTGAGGTGTATATGCATGCTAAGGTTTGGGTTGGGTGCTTGAATTTGATTCATGATCATCGGTTTGAATATACATGTCTATTTGCCTACTATGTTAAGAAGTTTTGAAATATTGGTATTGGCCTCTTATGTCTAATGATGTTTGCAGTATTTACAGTCCCTCCTCAGACCTCGCATTGGCGGGAGCCTCGTGCACTGGGCTGCCCTTTTTTTTCCTCTTCTTTACTTGGCCCCCTTTTCATGTTTTGAGCATGTGCTTTTAATTGACTTAGACTATTTATGTTTTAATTACCAGCCTAATGTTTAATTTGTAGAATCATCTATTGATGTTCCCTTCCCAAAATTATGAGAGCTATGTTTGTATTCAAAGGAAATAGTGTTTTGGTAGGTGTGCAATGAATAAGCCTGGGGATTTTACAGATTTCATATTTGTGGAAAATTACAAGAATGATCACCATTCTGTTTTTACTGGGTCACTTCTTAGTCCTTTCATATTTGTTGAAGTTATAAGAACTGCCAGCATTGTCTAAAATTACCAACAAACTAAAATGTTGAGGTCACTTATTTTGTTAAAAGATTTACTAAAATCTTCACAAACCATTTTCAGGGTTCCATAATGATGGGACTGTGTATTATTTTATTTTTTATGACTTTTCAGGTCTATGTTAAGTAAGCTCTGGAAAAGGGGATAACTATTTCAAGGAATATTGTATCAATAATCATACTAAATACTGAATAAGATCTAAAGTGGTAAACTATGTATGCCACAGTAATGAACAAACACTGCTTCTAAAAAGAATCTTTTTGTAGTTCATGATTGATTTTGTTCATACACTATAAACTTCACGTATTCCATCCCACTGAGTTAACTTTAGAAAACATGCATTGGTCTTCTCTGTCGACATCTCTTTAGCACCATGATTGTTTGGTATAATCATCTCATGTAGGAATAGTTAGTGTGCTTTAAACCCAGATTGGTTAGGACCTGTAACCATTAATATTCCTGGTGTTACTTGACTATCTGCTCTGTGGTACTTTGCTGTCTTGTTTTAATAACCATGTCTATTATGTTAGTTGATTCAGTATAAAGTAGTTAAAGCTCTCATGTTTTGGTCATCCTTGCAGATAAATAATAAATGTGTGGATGTGGGTGCCTTATGGCCTTCTGGTCCACCACAAGACTACAGAGGCCTTGCATACCCTGAAACCTGTTAACAGGTGTCATAGCCTGGCCATCATCTATCCTTGTTTCTGGAAAAGAATTTAGATAGCACTTATATATGAATAAGCATAAATTTTTAGGACTTCCAGTTCAGGGTTTCAGATAATGGTAGAAATGGGTGTTGACTATAACCAGTGCAAGATTCCTTGGCCAAGAGCCTTCTAAATTACTAGTAACGTTTCTCTATTACTTAATTGAAAGTGATTTTATTTGAAAGCACTTAATCTGCTGAATTTAATTAGGAAAATTTTCTTGCTGTAAAACTAAACTTAGAAAATCTACAAATTCTGGTACCATAAAATGTTTTCAGTTCCGGTACTGGGAACCTTCATAGAGCTCTAGAATGTTGCATAAAGTGGGACCAGATGTTGCATCCCGACACTAGTTGACGCTACGGATGGTTTTGTCCGCTGCAGGACCCAAGCGAACCCCATTTCCACCATAACATGGGATGCAACATTGCGGCCTTCTATGTGCAACATGTGCAGCTCTACAGTTCTTCACTATACAGGTACCAGAAACTGTTTGTTTGCTATTGCAGAATAGCTCTAAGAATATGTATATTCCAATTATTTCCTCATTCATGGATTTTAATTCCTGAGGCAGGTTTTATGCATCAGAGGTATTGCTGGCACTTGAGTATCTGCACATGCTTGGGGTCGTGTACAGGGACCTTAAGCCAGAAAATGTGCTAGTAAGAGATGAGGGACATATCATGCTATCTGACTTTGACCTTTCACTTCGATGCTCTGTCAACCCAACACTGGTCAAGTCATCATCAGGCCATGGTGGAACTGGAGGCATTCTTGATGATGAATTTGCAGTTCATGGATGTATCCAACCATCAGCATTTTTCCCACGCATCCTACCTAAGAAGAGTCGCAAATCTAAATCTGAGTTCAACCTCTTTGCTGGTGGGGCTCTGCCAGAGCTAATGGCAGAACCCACAAATGCACGTTCAATGTCATTTGTTGGGACCCATGAGTACCTGGCCCCAGAGATCATACGCGGTGAGGGTCATGGCAGTGCAGTTGATTGGTGGACCTTCGGCATCTTTTTATATGAGCTGTTGCATGGAATAACGCCGTTCAAAGGTGCAGGCAACCGTGCTACACTTTTTAATGTAGTGGATCAGCCATTGCGGTTCCCAGATGTACCATCTGTGAGCCTTGTGGCAAGGGACCTTATCCGGGGCCTCTTGGTGAAAGACCCACAGAAACGAATTGCTTACAAGAGGGGTGCCACAGAGATCAAGCAACACCCATTCTTTGAGGGAGTTAACTGGGCTCTTGTGAGGAGCAGCATGCCACCACACATACCTGAACCTGTAGACTTTAGTCACTTTGCAAGTAAGGAGAAAGTGCACACGAACAAGAAGGTGGTAGGAAATGGTATTGGTGGTGGTGGTGGCGGCGCTGGCGCTGGCGGCGGTGGTGGTGGAGGAAGCATCAGCAGCACTGCCGGTGGTGGTGAGCATAATAGCAGTTTAAATGATTCATCTTACATTGATTTTGAATACTTCTAGGATAAATGTGGCCTACATCTTTTTTTGGAGGGATATCATCTTTGTACATCCACAAGGAACCAGAGTCAGATATGTATGTTGGTTTTAGCATGAATTCAAAGGTGAATTTTGATGGTCAGGAAGACTTGATTCTTTGTCTAGGAGGTTAAAATAAGTGTTCCATTCCAAGGATGGGAAATTCATCCAATTACCATTCTAACCTGAATTTTGTATGACCCACAAGATTTGTATGTTAAGCACCAAGTCTGCAAGTTGTACATGATTAATTATTATAATTATTTCTAGTCCATGCCTTTAAATATTTACTTGAGATTTTTGAGTGATCAAATACGGTTCTAATTGGGTGCTTTTCTGTTTTTTTTTTTTTTTTAACTGGTTCAGGGGTCGGTTTAAGGCCGCCTACCCCCTGAACCAGGTCAGATCTCAAATGGCGGGTCACTGACACGATATGTATCGGCCAATATGCCCCGAAACGTTGTAAAATTTAAATCCTTGTGATCAGTGATGTTAGATGATTTCAAGTTTTCAATTTAGTTAGGGGTTATGCATGGTTTGTGCATTCATTAGATCTTGGCTCCTTAGAATGTCGTTTACAATCCGGTCAGAACAAGTGGCATGAACCTTGGGCTTGGGTTGAAGTTTAGCTGAACCTGACTTGTTTATTCCACAACAATGTTACACTGGAAATTTTGGCATTTGAATTTGAAATTGTTGATCATACACATGCTCATATGCACACACATACACATCTTTGCATAACTAGATGAGTGGCATGTGCAAATGCAAGAGGGAGAGAGAGAGATGGAGTAAGATACTAATCATATCTAGATTGCTTTTCAAAGTCGAGGCCAGACAAAAATACATGGTATCAAATTTGATAGAGAACCTCTTCTAATTATACAATTTTTGTATGAATATTATAATTTTTTTTGTAAAACATCAAGAACAAAAGTTTCAAATATTTTAAAATATTATACATTTGTTTTAGTAGCTCATTATTTCTTTTTTAATTTGGTATTCTTTTATAGCCAGTAGAGTGTCTTTCCTTGTGAACTGTATTGTTGATTATTAACTTAGGCCATGTTTGGGAGTGCTTAAAATAAGTGTTTATTTAGGCCATTAAGCACTTATTGGTATTTGGGGAATAAGTCCGAAATAAGTGTTTATATTTTAACCCCAAATTTTTAGTTTTTTTTTTAAGTGATTATACAATAATCACTTATTCAAAATTTTCTTCTAAAAGAATCCCTAGTTGAATTTTAAAATACGATTTATAAAATTATCCCTAGTTGAATTTTATAAAAGTACTTTCTTAAAAGAAGGGTATATTTTGAAAATTTAAAAGAAAATGAAGGACAAAATAGTTAAAATGCTTATTTAAGTGCTTATTAGATAAAAAGACTATCAAACACCCAATATAAAATAAGTGATTATTTTAAAAAAATAATCACTTGAAAAAGTTGGGTGTCAAATGCAAATAAGTGTTTATTTAAATAAGCACTTGTTTTTAAGTACTTATTTTTAACTTAAGCACTCCCAAACATGGCCTTAGAATGTTCAAAAGATCATCATCCGTCCCACTTATATTTTAGTGTCATTTGAATTGCATATTATTTTCTGACTTTACGGGAGTTGCAATAGAACATTTCTATCCATGGCTCCTACCACTTATATCAGTGGCGGACTAGCGGGTAACCATCCTTTAAATATTGAAAGGGGGGGATATATGGTAAGTGATGGAGGTAGATTTGGCCCGACCCCTTGGCTGTGCGACACGTGGAGGAAACCGGGGTGACCTGGCAGGAACGTCAGCTCGGCACGGCGACAGCACGACCATATCCCAAATAAGAGGCCCGAGCTTCTGAGTTCTCGAGTTCCCCAAGAAGAGGCCCGAGCTCCCCAAAAGGAACCCACACTTCCTTGGGAGGTGAAACCCGAGCTCTCCCTAAGAATCCCGAGGTTCGCAGAGAAGCCCGCGAGGGGCAAAGCCCGGACTAACCCACCTCGAGTCAGTCCGGACCAAATGCCAGTACCACGGGACAATAGGACATACTCCCATTCGAACTCAAGACTTCACCTCGCGCACCACTCCGGCACCTCGGCTCCAGGTCGCGCAACTGTGAATTCATACCTAACAGGTCCGTACTCTGAGGCAGCACACCTGACTGGTCTGGATCTAACAGATGGAAATCATGCCGTAACGGCTACCTGCTACCGCCATCCCAGTTGTGGCAGAGACAACCCTGACAGAGAGGACAGTGGCAGTTATGTCTGCCCCCCACAGAGGCGGTTATACCTGACTTGTCAGAGACTTGGGAGTAAGTGCACCAGATGGTTATAAAAGACCTTCTTCCCCAGAGAAAGAGGTATGTGATATTTGTGCTTTCTGGTCTTAAAGTCTCTTATTTTTGCCTTCTCAAGAGTATTAACTTGAGCTTCGAAGTATCCCTACCGGGTTCTTCCCCGGAAGTCTCCAATTTCTTCCTTGTTTCAGGCATCTTCGACTCCATCAGAGGCAAGATTACCGGCGACTAAGACCGATCGGATTGTGCATCATCATTTGGCGCCGTCTGTGTGAAAGACTTCAAAAAGCCTCCCCTAACCTTTAACTCCCTTCCAAAGAAAACTCAGCATTCATGGCTTCTTCCGGCAGTGACAGGCGTAACGCCGACCTGAATGCTGTAGGGGAACACCCTCAGCCCGCCACTATGTGCATCAGACAGTTTACCGTCCCCCTCTTGGCAGACGAAATCCCTAGCCTCAATGCCCCACGAACAGTGGCGCCGGTGAATGTTCCCCTTCCCCCCTCTATTGAGACAACCTTCGCCGAACCGACCGTTGTCCCTCTGGCGCCCAGCCAAAACCAGCTTGATGACTTGATGCAATGCATGCGGGCTATGCAAGCCCAAACGCAGCAGTTTCAACAACACCAACTCCATCAGCAGCAAGTACTACACCACAGTTCTCAGTACCAGTACCAACAGTAGTTCCCCTAACTGCCTCAGAACCAGCCACAGCTCCCACCTCGGCACCCTGCAGTTAGGCAAGTCAAGCCCTTTCCTCAGGGCGGGCGCCTTCACCGAGGGGAAGCTTCCCAAGCTCAGAACCCCTCTAGAAGCCAGGCCTCATCCCCTGGCAGGAGGGAAAGACCAACTCCCCCCTCTTCGCAGCTCGCCAGCGGATCGGGAACCTCCTAGCCAACCAAGTCAGCACCACCTCGGCGCTCTAAGTTCGGGCTTCCGCTCACAGAGAACCAGTTCGGCACCCTGGCCGCAGACTACCATCAGCAGTCCGGGCCCATTGAGCTCGGCAACACCGAGGCAAGCAGCGCCAATACCGGACCTTCCAAGCAGCAACGGAGGCGCCGATGAAGTCGCCGAACTACCACCCACGTCCTGCCCGAGCTCCGAGGTAAAGAAGAAGGAAGCTCGGACGAGGTAAAGGTTGCTCCTATTCTCTCAGTCCCTTCCCCCCTGTCATCAGAACTCCTCGCCGTTCCCATGCCCAAAGATTTCAAACTCCCCCCACTAGACAAATATGATGGGTCCTTTAACCCCAGTGATCATGTTGATGCCTTCCAATCCCAGATGCACCTGGCGAGGGCCAGCGAGTCCTGCATGTACGTGGCCTTCACTACCACCTTCAGGGGAGTGGCCCGCACCTGGTATAGGAACTTGGCCCCCGGGTCGATAAGGAGTTGGACCCAGTTTGTGCAAGTCTTCACCGCGCACTTCGTTACCAGCAAGTGGTGCCCCCGAACCGAGGAGAGCCTCCTCGGGATAGTCTAGAGGGAAGGAGAATCCATCCAAGGCTATATCAAACGGTTCAACGACGCGTGCTTGCAGATATCGCGGCTAGACCCCGCAGTATAGCTCGCGGTAGCCAAGAGGGGAGTAACGCACAAGGAATTCAAGTGGCACATGGTGGTCAGCCAGCCCACGACCATAGTCGAATTCCTCAAGCTCGTGGACAGATTCATAAGAACGGAGGAGGAGATCAACCAAAGGACTGAGTGCGGGTTTGAAAAAAGGAAGAGGGAAGGCGAACCCCCCAACCAGAATGACAGGAGAAAGAAAGACTCAGCTTGGGGGGCGAAGCCGAGTCAGCCGTTCCGAGCTCCCATGGCAGATCGGGCGGACTACACACCCTTGAATGCAAAGCGGGCTAAGATCCTGATGATGATCAAGGACGCCCCGTACGTAAAGTGGCCGCCTCGTCTGAAAGGGTACCCGAATGAGAGGAATAAAAATTTGTATTGTAACTTTCATAGAGACCACGATCATAGCACCGATGGGTCAGCAGAAATTTTGTACGATGGGTCTCGCCGCGGGTACCTAAGAAATTTTGTACAGCATAGTAATAATAATAACAATAATAAGATGGGTCGACAGGGGGAGCACAGCAGAAATGCCCCCGAGTCCAGCAGTCGGCCCGCAGAACAGTCACAGAAGCAGCCCCCAGAGGAAAAGCCAGTTCGGGGAACGATTCATGTGATCGTTGGAGGCTCGATTGTAATAGGATGCACCTCGGCAGTAGCTCGGGCATCAACCCGTGAGGCCGCTAGAGAAGAACAAAATCCCCCAAAGCGGCCAAGGACGAAAGACCCCATATTCTTCAACGAGGACGATGCGCGCGGAGTTCACTACCCCCACGACGACGCCCTCGTCATAAAGGTAAAGATTAATGACTTCGAGGTCAGGCGCGTACTGGTTGACTCGGGTAGCTCGGCAGATATTCTCTTCAAAGCCGCGTTCGACCAGCTTCAGTTGTAGGGAAGTAACTTGAAGCCCGCGAACACTCCTTTGGTGGGCTTCAGCAGAGAAGAAGTCAGGTCCCTTGGGAAAGTGACAGTACCTGTGGAAGTCGGCACATGGCCCTGCGTAGTCAGACTCAACCACGAATTCCTAGTGGTCGCGACCCCCTCCCCATACAATGCCATAATAGGTCGGTCGATCACCCATATCCTACGAGTGGTGGTCTCCACTTATCATTTGGCAATGAAGTTCCTTACAGACTTCGGTGTGGGGGTAGCGCGGGGCGACCAGCTCGAGTCCCGCAAGTGCTATGTCGCCACCCTAAAGGGAAAGACCTAGGTGGCTGGCGACCTCGAATTGGAGCGGCCTACAGAGCAAGGCGAAGAAGGAGTCGCGCCCACGGAAGAAACAGTCGCTGTTTCGACCTCATCCGCAGACCCAGCTCGGACGCTTCAGATCGGTGCTTCCCTCTAGGAACCCATACGAACCGAACTGGTAAGTTTCTTACTTCGAAATTTAGA